GTATTTATGGTTTGCAAATTAAAACATATAAAATATAAATTGAGTGTACATATAGTCTTTTTAAGTTAGTTCTCACAATTTTTACCTGCTAAATTGGTTTGAATTCGTTTATACATCGGTGAAAACTTTAAAAAACAAACGCCCACTTTTTAGCAACCTGTGCGAATAAAAAAGAGCGTTTTTAGTTCAGTGTGAAACGAGTAGCTATTTAGATATTTTTATCCTTCGTGGTAGAAATTCAGTACGCGAAGTTTTCTCTAAGGCGATTAACGCGGGCTTTCGGAAATAATCGCGCACGATATGCTGTTTCTAGCAGACGATTTACTTGTAAACAAAGCCTTCGAAAGTTTTTTATGCGTGAGACGTTCTTTGCTAGATTGGCAAATTTCAACCAGCGTCAAAATGGTTTACAAGTATAGACGGTGGTATCCATTAGTTTTCAGTTATGCGCCAGGTTTATGGGTTTATTTGTAAATGAAACAAACTATTAGTTAAGTTTTTTTTGTCGACAAGAGGAAGCGAGCCTTGTGATTCCTTGCGGTTGTCTCCTTGTTGTATTAAGATTTTACTGGAACTCAGCCCAGCTTGCAACGTTACAGCCATGGGTAAGAGATGCCATATTTGTGTAGCATTATTTGGACATATCTGTCTATTGGTTAACACAGGGTTATAAACAGAGATAGAAATTACTTATTGCTTTCTAATCATCATACATGTATTGGTGGTGCAGTTGATCCTCTAAAAAGAATCACTGGAAGCTTTTTCGATTCTGTTTTATTTCATCATTGTTGAATATATGTATGATTTAAAATGTTTCCGTATTAAAAGATCCGTGTAATCAATATGAAAAACAATCTGATAAACTACCTGAGACATTAGTTACGTATATTGCCTTAAACACGTTACTTTATGAGTCGATCTTAACTACTTGGGTCATTTACTCATTATATGTTTCCAGAAGATAGCCCAGAAATAGTCGCTTTCAACGTCGAGCCAGTCAGCGACCTCATTCCTAAGGAAATTGCGAAGGAGCTTTATATAGCAATCAAAGAAAACCAAATGCGGGGACTGATAGATAACCAAGTGTTTTTTGCTGAGATGCTGCACTGTCTCAACTACAAGCTTGATCCCGCTGGTATGAATATACAAGAATACAACTTATGTCTAACTGTCATTCTTTCTTCATGCGTTTTATCCGTATAGCTTGTATACGGTCTTGTGTGTATTTTCAGTTAGTTCTCATAGCAGAGGGTTGGGGAAAGTCGAATTATACGATAGGTTCTCTGAAACACGGCGCAGTTGACTTATCGCGTCTATGCTTCGCGTCACTATATCCGTATTTAGGAATTAAACAATTTCGCTGAACCGTCGTGCTCAAAGTGATTAGAATCAACGAGAGTATCCATATGAGACTTAATACGCTTTTAATGGCGAAAGCATTTGTATACAGGCTCTTCATGTTTGATTTTGGAATTTCCTGTATACTACATTAACATTACAGAACTGCAGTGGCGGCCTCCAACTCAGCAAGTCGAGCTTGTAAAGCTTTTGCAATCACTGTTAGCCCTTGATGAGTGGAAGAGGGCAGAATTTCATTCAAGATCGCTCGATACACAGCTTATTGCATTTATCCACTTTTGGGCACGTCTGCAAAGAGCTGAATTAGATGCAAGAGGACTGCAGAGCGCCAACAACCTTCCGTTCTCAGGCGGATATGAAACAAGAAAGGTATTAATTATTGTGAAGGCAATTAATAACCGTGGCGTCGCTATAAGCCGATAGTATTTGTTTCAAGTATGCCACGCATACTGCACTCTGACACGCTGGGTGAAGCAAGTTACTAAATACGAGAGCACATGGAATGTGGTTTCAAGGTTAAAAAACATGAGGCTAGCCATAGTAGAATTCACTTTAGTTCCGTGCTTCTATTAGAGAAATAGGAATAAATATATGTCAAAGATATAACGAAAACAGACGAATTTTTTTCCTGGCCCGTCACTCATCTGGGATGATTCACAGCTTTAAGCTTTGGAGCACTTCTGGGCACTATTGCGAAACCCGCCAGGTGCGCGCGTTCAGCCCTATTTTTTCAGTATAGATTCCATGAACGTCATATATCAGGGTAACATAGGTGAATGAATTAAATGTTTTTTATGGCCGATTGTAATTGCTTGTAAACTTTTTGCAGACGTTCAACAAAATTCTCGAGGACTTGGAGGCGTATCCTGGTCACCAGGAAGATGGCTTTTTGAATTACATCCGCGCTAAAGTTCTTGTGCATTTACGCAGAAAGGCAGATGCTCGTGAGGTCCTTCTAACAAGCATCAATCAGGTGCCGTGCAACTGGCTCGCCTGGACGATGTTGCACAAGTTTGTCGACTGCAAAGAAACGTTGGCCGATGTAAGTCGGAAAGCTATTTGACACAGTCACATCTAGAGAAACAATACCAGCTGCCATAACGTGTATCTAGTTGTTATCCTTAGGATGAACCAATGAATCTTATTTCCTCTAAAGCAATAGTTAGTAAACTGCTATTAGATGGGAACCAGCCCATACATCTTCTGTTTTGTAACAATCCATTATTTTCATGTGCATACGTATGTCGTATCAATCACTTGTATTCCACGCGACCGTTTCTTTTACTATAGATCAGTGCATTGCTGTGCCGGCATTGGTTGAAACGCTTGTTTTTAGCTGATGTCAGATGTGCGGTGCTACCACTCGCTCAGGACGAGGATGTAACCGATGTGTATAAAGAAATGTTGGACATCTTCAAGGATTCGCCCTACATTCTCACTCAGATGGCCATTAAGTTACAAAGTCAGCGCCAAGTGTGTTCAGCCATTCAACTCTTCAGACAGGTGCTTGTTAGATTTTAAAATATCTTATTAGAAATGGCATAGCTGGTTGTCAATTAGCGTAATGGATGAAGGCCTGTTCGTTTTTTTTGGATCAATTAAACAGGACGAGGCAATGCTGAGAGCCAGAGGGCTTCGTGCGTAATCATTGACGAAAACGATGGCTTGTGTACTTCCCGGCAAACAGACAGCCAATCAGTTTTTCTACTATCAGAAGGCAACTACTGTACATACTTTAATTCATACATGTGATCGTTTTAAGCCTAAGAAGATGATTGTATTTTTTCCGGCGTACTTTGTAGGGAGCAATAATGTCAAATATTCTTTCAAGTTTTTTCCCTGCGGAGATTAAAATTTTTCGGCAGCGATGTCTTCTATGGTTAAACACTATAAAAAAAAAACAAAGTATACTGCTTTATTCTGTGGGATTATACAAAAACGCATATTATCATCCCAAGAATTACTTGAAATTATCCAGAACTCGGTCCAACGCCGACCTTTGAACTAATGCATTTATCTTCTCTGTCCCGATACTATGCTGCCAGGTTCGCTCGTTGGATCCATACCGCTTACAACAGCTTGATGTCTACTCAAACTTACTGTACGTTGTACATCACGAAACAGAACTGACCTACCTGGCTCATTTTTGCGCAGATGTCAACAAATACTGCAAAGAAACTTGTGCAATTATCGCGAATTTTCTGTCGTTAAGGTATTTTATTATCGCGCAAGATTTGTTAGTCAGTTGTTGGATTTATTTTATCTACCAAAAATATTTCGCGGATATTTTAAAGGCAAAATATCTTATATAATCCTCATTGACGGCTAGGTTCAAATAATTCACCCGTAAAGTACTTATCAACTTTATCGTGTATGTTCGCTTCTTCATACCGTTTCTGCCGCTTGTAGGGGCCAACACGAGAAGGCTGTAGAATACTACAGGCGGGCGTTGAAATTAGACCCTGAATACTCGCAGGGCTGGACGCTAATGGGTCACGAATGCCTTGAAATTAAGGATACAACCTCAGCAATTGAAGCATACCGTCAGGCGACCAACATTAACGAACGTGACTACCATGCCTGGTACGGCCTTGGCCAGCTGTTTGAAGTCCTCAAAATGCCGTATTTTGCTCTCCGTTACCACCAAAAGGCGCACTCTCTTCGACCATCCGATTCGCGCATCCTTGTAGCTATGGCAGACTGTTACCAAAAACTCGGCGAAATGGACGACGCAAAGAAGTGCTTTTACAAGGCCTACCAAACGGGTGATATCGAGGGAATGGTGTTACATAATTTGGCCAGGCTTCACGAAGAGCTGGGTGAAAAAGAGCTAGCGCTCGAGTGTTTCCGGAAATTCCTCGAAGAATGCGATGAGCGGAAGCTAACCGACGTCGAAGAGCAAGGCGATGCCTTCCTTTATCTAGCAAGGGCCTATCTTGAAGAAGGAAAGCTGGACGATGCACTGATTTTCGCGCAGAAGGGCTTTGGTTATGCTCAGCGTAGGGAAGAGAGCAAAATGATCATTAAACTTATTGCCGCTGCACGAGATGCTGAAGGGGGTAACGGGCACTCGAATGTAACTGCGATTGCTTCTGGTAGCGGTGCCGAAGACAGCGCGCCGACCTTCAAGTTTACGACGCCCAAATCATCTGGCGCGACTAGTTAGATACGAAGCTGTCTTGAAGTCATCTTGAAATTATCTAACATTTGGCTCCTGAAATTTGCCAGACATGGCTATAGAATCTGGCACTAGATGGATATCGTCTGGCTTGGTTGTTGGAAGGTCGTGTCTGGTCATTAAAGTGATGAATGTATATTTGTGAGATACTACTTTTTCAACTTTTTTGATGGACCTAAAGTTTAGGCTTATTCTTACATACTCCATTCTCTGTTAATTCTTGGCAGAACGACGGAAGAACAGAAAAGAACAGGTAACTCTTTTCGACTTAAAGGACAGCTCATGCCTATAACGGTTATAACTGTACATACGTAAATGGATTGTGCTCTACTCAACGGGCATCTGTATTTGTACATAGTGTATACCCATAAAGTCGTCTGTAATTAAATAAATATTGAAATGTCTCTGTGAGATCGTTTTAAATATAGTTTGTATTTCCTTTGTTGATCATTTCATCGGAGTTTCGGGCATCTCTTAAAAGTTTTCGCGCGCTTATTTACAGCAGCAGCACCATCAAATAATATAGCTAGTCATGCGTCGCGTGAGTGGTATGTCTTGATTCTAAACCTATATATGACTTGTGCATGCTTAGTAATAAATGCAACGCTTTAATTACGCTAAAACGAATCGAAAAGAGCCTTGACCTACTTAATGCATGATCGGTACAGCAGCCTACCCAAGAGGGCCTTAATATTGAATAAATGTAAGTGTTGATTCACTATAATTTCGGCACGGTGGCATTTTATTTACGTTAGCTTATATGATCTGATTTAATGTTCTTCAATTGATATGCTTAACAGCTCTAGTTTGGCTCCACAAAAGATGTGCATCTACGACTTGTATATTTTTTAATAGTTGTATAATTGATTTAATCCAATCACCTCACACAAACAAAAAAACGGCTAGGTTTATTTCGATCAAATAATTAGTATAGCTTATGTACGACTCATCTGTGTAAGCTTCTGTTTTCAACAATAAATATTGATTAACTTCAAAGGTACGCATTGTGGCGTAGCATCTATCTGCATGGAATCTTCAAAGCAGATTCTAGCAAAACCGGTGAAAAACTTATATAAGGTAAGATATATTTTTTCATATAAGATATATATATATCTTATATGAAAAAAGGTATCAACCTAGCATTCAAGCTCGCAAAATCCTGCAGGGCCTCGAGCAACCTTCTGCTATAAGAAGTCGTATTTCGCGGCTTTTACACACTATAGTAGCATGTTAACTATCTGTTTGATGTTAAGGTACTTACAGATATACTACCAACAAATAATTACTAATTATAGGAAAATCCAAAATACATTTGAATTTTAATGTTACACAGGACGCATGTTTATTTACAGTATGACAAATCCCTTCCCAGAGATTGTATGCAGTTTCCCCTCGAGTCCAAATATGTAGAAACGAAGTCCATTAGGATCCCGGGTTTTCACCAAAATGAAGGTGATGCCAATAGTAGTTCAGGTTCCTTGCGTTTGTGGTATGTCCTGGTGATCTGCCGTAATTCATTATGTCGATGATAAGTAGATCAACCCCACAACGAACCTGTTCTCCTTCAGATGTGGCATTCTCCTTTGCCCTAACGTCTTTGCTTTGTTCGCGGTAATGCTCATTAACGCATGTGAGGCGGAGGTGGTCCGCGCATCATGCCTGGAGGTGGGCCTCGCATACCAGGTGGAGGTCCCCGCATGCCCATCATGCCGGGTGGCATTGGTCCTCGCAATCCGGCTGGCATACCTGGTGGCGCCATTGGCGCAGGTGGTCCACCTGGCATTCGCATAGGTGGCGCCGAAATGGATGCCCCTCTCGCCTGCGGAGCCATTTGCGGTCCGGACGGGCCACCGACGCCTCTCACAGGGCCTTGTAAACCTGCGGGCGCAGCCCCACCTAGTGGTCCAGTGGGCATACCTCGTCCGGCAGCTCGGCCCATACCCTGCGAACCTGCTCCAGGAACCCGAGGCAAACCGGTTTCCTCGGGAGGTGGCGGCCCTTCGACTGTCATCGAAACGATGTTCTGGCCTCGCATTAACACCAAACCCAAAACCCGTTTTTCTTCGCGTTCCTGTCCACCTTGTTTCGCTTTAATCTTGCGAAACTCTTCACACTCGGTTAGAATGAGGTTCATGTGCTTGTCGAACGCCTTGAACGTACCGATGAAGCAGCGGGAGTCCTGCAGCGTGACCCGCATTCGATAATTGATATGCTAAAATAAGTGAAAAACAAAAACTTGTGAACATTTTGCCAACGCATTTAAAAAGTAGACATCCAAAAAGATTGTCCGCAAATCGCATGTAAAATACGGTGCATTTTTGGCACTGGGTTATTTCAAACTTTAAGAAGTTGTGCAATATTCGTTAGCTAACGTTACTTTAAGTTATACGACAACAATGCCTTATCTGGTTGATGTTGGGGTAATGCATGCACCTAACATAACCGCAATTTATAATCTTATGATGCGACCCTAGAAGAAGCAACGCATTTATTATTACTTCCTGTTCGTTTAGGCGGGGTCTTATAATACATCATCATGATTTCCCTCTAATAATATGTAGCTCTGAAGATCCTCGCCTCCCTCGCATGGTAACTTTATATAGTGGCTTTCACTACTAGGATTTAGTGGAAGGAGGTGCATCTAATAAACAGATGTTCAAATTTAAGCGTAGAGTACAACCCATTCTACATCGAAACAGGAACAAGCAAAATGAAACAGGACATTGTAAATAATTGTATCTAATTCACCAAATAAGTCCGCTAAGTAGTGATACCATTATACCGGATAGCAGGATACCATTATACAAAAACGGCGCTTACGTGATGAACCGCCAAACGATTATAACTTACATGTTAGGTTTTTACCAATAAAATTAAGTAAATAGAGATAATTATTTGGTTAAGTAAATATCTACGCTGCCGTATAGTTGGTAAAGTCACCGTGGAAGAACGTAATTGCGAGTAACAAACATTTTTAGTCACAACCCTTATAACACTAAAACCCACGCGTATGGTAAAACCCCGATATATTAGACACAATCTTTGTTGTCAAATATCATCACATCAAACATTGAGGTAACCCTGTCCATGAAAGAAACTCGACCAACTTCTAAGAAGTGTACTCAAGGGTAAGGCGTTTTAATGTTCGGCGGGTGTTGCAGTGACACCGCCAGTTTAAGTTTGTATATGGTCGCGCTGACGGTCTTCGGTCCCCATGCCAATAACGTGCCCTGCACTCGGTCAACCTAGCCAGCCTTGTCTCACACAAACAAAAACCTACCTGCAACATTTTATTGTTCTTTGAGATCGTCATCTTCGCTCACTTTTGGGCGATCTAGTCGCACACGTCAGACTTAGCAAAAGTTCTATAGTATTTTACTTGGCAAGTAGCGTCAAACTACCACAAAAAATCGCACCGCACTATTCCGACTTGAGTCGACGACAACTGTCGGCACATGAAAATGTTTCGGCACGCGCCAGCGCTTGGTCCGCCACCACTCGATATCAACATTGCATCACTGGGAGGCTTTTAGCGATGGCTAAATCTCAACGTCTAAAATGGGCTATTATTATTAAATGTAGTGCGGAAAAATAACAATGCTATAAAAGCTGTTTTCACACTAAGTCTATCTATTTTAATATACCACTTGATATAATTTATGGCAAAAAGTTCAGACACTAGTCAGAGGAACTGTTCGAATTTGCGCGGAAGAGTGTTCCGTACGTTAGGTTGTTGTTTGTGTTTAATATGTGTTATCCTTGTCGGCTTTGGGTTATTGGCGCTTATCTAAAACATTGGCTTTCGTTAAAGCGGAAGTTAGGTGGTAGTTTTCAGCTGGTATTTACAACATAAGTTCCTACTGAATAATACAGTGTAATAGCGAAATGTGAAGGAGGAACGGTGATTTGAATTCGACTACTGGTCGATTAATTCGATTACTAATAATTTTTTATGGTGAATTTTCAAAAATCACCCAAACGAGTACGTCGACGCCAACGAATGCATTTGCCATTTATCAAACAAGTGAAAATTAACGAGTCGGAAAGTATGCGTGAAAAGCGGTGAACTGCAACTTCAGCGCAGTAATACCCTGTGACTACACAGTGCTGCATAATTTTAGCCACAACATTAAATTTCTCTACAATATCTTGTTCCAAATCTTAAAATTTCTCTTACGACTGTCGTTGATGCTAATCGTTAAATATGTCAAATTTTCCAACGGTATCCCAAGGAATGCAGTTTGCGATAGACGCGACTCTCGATACGGACAATATACCGTCATTTAACCCGCACACACTGCGACACAGTCGAGGTCGGAATCCGTTCGTACAGCAACAAAAAGGAGGTAGAAATGCTCCCCGAGGCAATTTTTCGCCAAGCGAACACCTTTCTTCTAGAGGAAGTTATACACCAAGAGGTAATTTTACACCGAGAGGAGGTCAGTTGGGTGTCAGCGGAAGCCAAAACACCCCCAGGCATTTTTACGGCCGACGGCGCGGTGGGAATCGAGAAACTGATAACTTTACCAATCAAGAAAGCCACTCACCGAGAGGAAATCGAAGTGGATGTAGGGAGGGCGGTCCCTGGAGTCCACGCCAACCGCAACCGAACTTCAGTAATCCATATGAAAATCAGTTAACGCCAAGACAGGTTTACACTCCGCGACAAAGATGGACTTACACGCCAAGAGGATCGAGCACGACCATGTCCAACCAGTTTGGGCCATGCGCTCAAGGAGCGTCCTACCAAACTCTGGCTTTGATTGACGCGTTCGTCAAGCCCTCCATGCTGGACAACCCATGGAAGTATCTTGAACAACAGCAGAAGCGCAGTACAATTAGAAGGCACGAAACAGCTGGCGAGCCTAGCTATAAGAAAATTCGCGCCGAGGTAGAACCCGATAGAAGTCCACCGCTTGAAGACGACGAAGTTGATGACGACGCCGAAACAGAAGACGTCGGCTCCTGGGCGAGTAGAAGCGGGGAGTGGAAAAGCAGAAGCAGCAACGACGGACAACCGGATAAAGACAATGATATTGATGACGATTTCAATATCAAGAATTTCCTTCCAAAAGTATGATACAATGAAAACAGATTTGCCAGTCTCAAACATTTCGGGATATTGTATGTACAGTTTTGAGGGCTTATCATTGTTACATGTTTTGGGGCATTTCTTGATGTTTCGAACTACTAAACATTTGTCTGAACTTTTGTCCATTTCCGAGCAGATACGCGCATAAGTCATAGCACGTAAATGTATCTATGGTGTAATGTTAGAATTACACTGTGTTTCATTGCGAGTGATTTTTTAGCTTAACCATCATCATTATGAGAGCTTTCGTACAGTAATGACGATTCCCTATAGGTACGGTCTCTATAACAAAGGTGATTTATTATTGTAAATACTGTGAATAGAACAATACTGTGAATGAGTAGAAGAAACCGGAACTCGGTGTAAGATATCTGTGCTATCGATTTGGAAACAGTTTTAGTAATGAGTTAATTTTTTTACCCAGTACGAATTCATAATCTTTATTTCTTCGTTTGTGGGCATTATTCTGCGCCTAGCGTTCCATACGCGTTTTAATTTAATTTTCTATTTCAGCTTTTGTTTTTTCTGTAATTACTTAGATTTGATACAAACCTTTTCGCATACGTCTTATGCCAAAGCTAAATTGCACAAATTGCTCCCGTTCTGTAATCAACGAATACCGAAATATCAATGTACATATATATTTATGTAATAAAGACTATAATCCAGGTTAATGTAACCATGGTATTTTTATTTCACGCGTAGAATCAGTAAACTGTCAGACTCAACAGCTTAATAAGTGTTTTTTTCTCATCCGTCGGGAAGCGGTGAGTGCACGCAGAAAAGGTCTGAACTTTCCTCTGCATTTATCACTTTTATCAGCGAACTGTCTCGAAATGTAACCAGCGCTTTCCATTGTCTCTCCCTCAAATGAAGGTATAACCATCCATTTATACAAGCACGTATGCTGCGTGCCACAATATATATATATTATAATAACACATAGAATTACATTCTTATATCCTCTTAGATATCTATGCTTATGGAACACAGTTTTTTTATAGTCTGGTCATTCTCATTGCGATTTGTTAACAAATATATCATCATTTGCGTCACTCGAAAAGCCATTGTTTGCTGCAACATCAACAACGCGCTCATCTTCTCAGCGGTCTTAAGCCCCGTATCTTACTTAATCGAGCTAAGACGGCAATTTCGCGGCATAAAATACAATAGAATATTGTCGATGTTCTCAATTGTATCATCAGGTCGGTCCGTTTTTTCCTTCTTTGTTAATGCGTTCCCGAGGTTGAAACAACCTAGTTCAAGTCCTAGCTAGATGAATCACTAATTTCCGTAGTCGTAGCATTAACTCAACAGACACTGCATCTCAACAGATATTACGACGCGATAGCAGCTGCTGCCTAAGGGTCCTTCGTCTTTTTGGTTTCCTTGAGCAGTCGTTCTAACGCCGATGTGCCCTGAGGACCCTTCTCAGGTTTCCATAAAGAACCCCCCTGGGGTCGAGGAGCATTGCCTATACCCCCAGCGCTGGCTAAACCAACCAACGGCAAGAGGGGTGGCCTAGGCCCGTTGGTATGTCCGCTGCCCATCTGCGTCCCCATTTGAGGATTCCATGAGCCGCCACTAAATAATGAATAGGTGTTCGACTGGACGATTTGTCCGGGCATAGCGTTCGGATTGTTAAATCCGAGGGATGTGGGTGTTGGTCCTTGTTGTGGCCTGGTTAGGGAGTGAGTTGGGGGAGGCACCAAACGAAGATCAACATTGTATATAGGAGGTGGGGGTTGCTTAACCAGTTCTTCGATTGTCATCGGATATGTCCCCGACGGATGCATTAAGGCTGGAGCTGGAGGAGGTGCTACCGGCGCAGGTAAGTTCCATTTCGGAGCAGCATTTAATGGTGGCGGTGGCTGGGTGAATGGTATGGTTCCAATTGATCCTGGTGTAACAGGCTCAGGCGGTGGTGCCTGACGTTGGTTCATGATTGCTTGCAAGGCTACGTTTTGTCTTTTCGGTTTTTCGCGACGCGGATCTATGGGCTCATCCACGTTGAAACGAACTGCCGGTCTCAGATCGTCTTTATCTAGCCGTATGCGTTCAAGTTCCTTAACAAGATCATCCTCAGTTGTACACTCTTTTGCGCGAAACTCATCATCAATGAAACTGATGATAGCGCTGCCATCAAGGAATTTCACTTTACACAGCTCTTTACCTTGCTTGACAAACCGGCTTAATCGCAGTTCGGCGGCCTGAGCCCGCGTGAGTCCATGGCTAGCGAATTTTAGTTTCGATTGGACCATTCGTAGAGGGAGAAAACCGCGTAGTTCGAAATCTTCAGGTAGAGCCTCATCTTTCCAGTCGAGAGTCAATTGTCTTGCGAAGGAGTTAAGCACCGTGCGAAGCACATACCAAAGGTCATTGACGGGGTTAATGGACACGTTTTTTGGGTTGGCTAGCAAGGCTTCAAGAAGTAACAATGCTGTGGCTATCGCTGGATTGGCTACAGTCGAACTCACATTTGCCAATAAAACACACCGAAATAGGCCAAATACGAATTCGCTCATCATTTTCGCCGCACCATCTACTTCTACAAGTTGCGCCTCTGTAATCGATTTCTTACCGTAGGTGTTCGCTACCGTTCCGGGGCTTTTAGGTTTTGACCGCGTGAACGTGTACAGCGCCATAGTCGCCATCTGAAGCAGTGTCTGCTCGTCCAACTTTTCGCTGCACACTAACCGGGGCAGCGCTAACATTAGCGTCGATAAAATTTTTCTCGCAAGCGCAGGCTGCTGGTTAAGGTGGACTAGACTAATAAAGTGTAGAAAAGCCCCAGTTAACTCAGCTGGCGCCATTCGACTGTCGTACCTTGACTCCTTTGACATGGGCGGAGAAATTCTGGAAGACTGCTCCTCTTGTATAAGCTTCGAGTACATGCTCTCAAGGTTGGTTACCGCAACAACAAATGGATGACTGACTGATAATGCTCGAACGTACAGAAAGAGGGTGGCTAGCCGATTTCCTTTGGCTCCCTCGAGCAAGCCCAGCTGATTGTACGGATGACCGTTACGGGGCTCGATGTCGACAGCCTGACGGTAGTAGCTCTCGGCCAGTTGAAGGTCGTTTCTGTAACGGGCCAGGTCACCTAGATGTACTAGGCAATATTGGCAGATGTAAAGTACGCGAGATCGTTTTGCAATGCGAATGTGGTCCTGCTCCGATGAAGACGAATCATCTCTGACGTCCATTATTCCTAGACAATCTGGTCCGGGCATCATCTGGAAGGAAACGTGATAAGAAACAAGAGTTTTTATATTATACCTGATTTAATAATACAATAGATAAAAACGTTTAAGGATTTGGAACTTACTATTACATATAGGGGTATTCATTCTACACCTTTCCGTGATGTATATATTTACTAAACACTGAGATACATACACTGGACCGAGTAGCATAAATACTCATATTTTAAGCTAAGTAAACAAAGTCGATATTTTATTGCAGATTCTGCACTATATCCATAAATGCTTAACAACGAAATGTATACTTGATTATGGTAATAACAAACTTTTTCATAATTAAGTTTACTATACTGGTACCGTAATTTCTTATTGCTTAATGTATACCTATATTTCAGATTTGGGTTCACTCACCTAAGATTCCCGTAAACATATATATATATATATATATATATATATATATATATATGAACCGCTAAGTAAGAGGTTTCTTATATTTTAGCAACCAAATGGAATCGGCATGTGTTGGTATCAGTCTGTATCAAGTTATTAATTATTATATGCATTAAGCAATCGTTAACTACGATATAGCCGCATCGCAAGTGTCAACTACTTTAAGCTCAATGATTACGTGATCATTTATAGCTCTGTGGTGTCCACCAGCTCAGGAACGATATAATTGACGTGATATATTTCAGCCAGGTTCTTTTGATTTGGAAAAGATACTCTCTAAACTGGTACCCGACTCACAATATTAATTGGGGCATCTTTCACTCTTTGTTGTCGTCTATTATTTTGTTAATGTAGTAAAATATAAGAGCTTGTTCTCCTGGAGAACGATGAAACATGTATCATATTTTTTTTAACACAGTACTTTTTTATGGAAACATAATATTTCATTCACTGGTAAATCTAATTTAGAATAAGGTTACCAGATTATGTTGTGACCTTTATATAAGCTGCAGTAGTAAACTCATACATTTTTGATTGTTCACTCATACATAGATTAAGCTGTCTAAGTAAGTTTTAGCTGTTAATTGAAGGCAAACGCACTCAACAAGCGCCCAGATCCGAAATACTGACATAAAAACAGATCCGTATAATTTTTTTTCACAGAAGTCAAGCGAACTGTTTCCGATTGATACAAGACTTACCTTAAGCTCTGTGACTCGATACCGTTGTACAAGCCTTTGCAGGAGCTGCAGAAAATATCCACTTGAAAGGTCGATCATCAGACCAAGCTTGAGGGAACCCTCTCGACTTAGACTGGCCTCCTTCTGCAGGGCAGAGATTGATGCCCGAAAGGCCATGTTCCACAGGTCTTGTTCCAGCTTGCGTCCTAGTGCATACTCGAGATCGCTAAAGAGCACATCTTCAATCAGCGAGCAGTACCTGTACACATAGACATACAAATGCTTCGAGTATGGCGCGTAGGATAAATGGCCAGAGGAAAATCTCTTAATATTCTCCTTCAAGGCGAAATTCTTAATGCGTCTATAAGGCAAATAATAAAACGTTATTCCTGTATAGAATATTAGAATATATAAGGTAGTGTATGGAGATAGTACCTATTTTAGAAATTATCTGTTACTCAAATATACACTCTAAAAACGAGTTATATGTATAATACGATCTTGCCATTTTATTCAGCGTAACGAAAATCAAAATACATATTTCCGTGAAGATGAATTTTCACAAAGCATTTTTGAGAAATGAAAGACTGACTTCAAAAATGTGATTCAGTTAGTCTCGTAAAATCTACATACGCTCGTACGTTTATATGCACGAAAACAATTTTGACGTAGTATTTTACTTCTTGTCTTTTGCCAGTAGAGTTACAACAGTTATTAAGGTTTGCTTGGTTAGCGCAGTTGTTACTCTAAAAATATTTGTTTCTTCAACCTAGTTATCAAACAAAGCGCCTAAGCGACATTGATTCCGAAGATCAAGATCGCAACGAATTTTATCAAGCTAGGTAAAAGGATGTCTTATAAATCAAACTCATTACCGAACTTGCCAAAATATAACACAGAAATCTAATCCACACATATGTTAAGTTTAAACCCCTGCGTCAAATCGAGTCGGTAGGGTGTAGCCAGAACAGTAAGTAATAAGGTGTATTTCATTACTCTGAATCCCTAAAGCGATCTTTCTTATGGTCATACGAAGAGCAGGACACTTTTTGATTTTACGAAGGACCACCTTCTGTTGTAAACATCTCTGCGAAATTATACGGATATCAAACTATGTTTATCAAGGGCACATTTACTATTATTAAATCGGTTGAAGAGCTCTCTTTAATCCGATATCAAAAGGCACACAACGAGACAGACGAGCAGTCAGGTGTCCTGTAAGTGGTAGCCAAGTGTCCCGTGGAGTTTTTGAGGATTCGGGTAATGTAATTTCCGCCTTCCACTGCGCCAAAGTCGGCGCTCTTCATTTAAAAAAAAAAGCTGATATTAGAGTAGCGGAAAGACGAACAGGCCGAACTAGTCAATATGAATTCCCTCCTTGACGAAGACATAGCTACGAAGTCGAGTAGTGAAATCAGTTTTTGCGGAATCAGTGAAAAAAGATGCCGTAGAATAAGCCACTGTTGTACCTTTTTTCACTCCGCTTTAACTGCGTTAACAATTTAGATTTGAGTCTTTGCTTCGGTAACACAAAAGGAACTACCTTAATAAGTAATTGCATCTATTTAAATCAAAGCCTTTCCGTTTACAGAAGAGCTGTAATTTTTTCTTCCTGCCTTATGTTTTAACGTCATTGAGAAGTTAATGTCATCGAAGTTGTGTGTCAAATGTGTGCTTATTTAGTTTAAATAATAGCAAAATAAATATGAATTAGGTAATTTAGATGATCTAAAATCAAATGGAATGCTTTCAGTCTACATAGTTGTAAACAAAAATATGTATCAATAAATAATTAGTTGCGTAAAAAATGCCAGAACTGATTTCTTGAAACAATGCCAGGATTTTGTGTATTGCAAAGACATACTACATATAAATTAATTAGAAATTATTATAGTTATATATGAACATTAAACTAATTTAATATTATTTCTCAGAAATTGAAAAACTAACATAGCCTGTCATATCGTTTTTATTTGTTTCTTCTGGCCCAAAGAGTGCCCAATAGTAGAGAAGCACTGCGCTGTGCTTGTGTCTCTTATCCACAAAGACGCACAAAGACGCGTTATTTTATTTCTGAATCTAAACTATACCATCACCAAAACTAAATTTTCAAGAATAGTTATCTCATAATGCTTTAAGCCACTTCCCATAGCGTTGACGTTCGAAACGAAAATAAATCATTCTTTAGCTTTCTCCATCTGAAGACAAATGGATAACAGATTTAAGGATTTGCTTTCAAAAGAAACGCGCTATTACCTCCTAGGGATTTTTCAATTGCAACTTAAGCGATTGCTGTTCTTACACCCGTTAGTAAGCTTAGCTAAGGGATGAATATTTGTCATGTGAAGCTAGAATAGTGCTATTTTTTCAAACTTACTCCTTGCGCAATTCGTGAGTCCCTCCACCAAGGGCGTCCTTCGAAGCGCCCAATTCTTGTTTCGCCCTATCCAGTTTTTGGAGGGCAGTTTCACTTATGCCACCTCGACCTCCGCCACCTCCACCGCCCCCAGTTCGTGGGGCACGATTTGAGGTGCTTCCACTGACACCTCTGACTGCACCAACTGCGCGCATGATGGTTGAAACCGAGGTGAAATTTAGGCAGTAAATTCCACGCGGTCTATTGACCGGAATTTACACTTTTTTCGAGATCTACTTGCTGTTCTAATAGTAGATCCAGTGCGCACCTATTTCGATACGAATATGACCTTGTGGCGCGAGGAGGCTAGTCAGCATTACCGAAAACAAATATACCACTGTGTTTTCTAAATCTATCGACACGCTACGTTAGTACGTCTCCAGATTGTCACGCGAGACAGTAATAAAGAAGCAAATGCTTCTCGCTTAGGCAGAATAAAAAGCTCGCAGAAATACTAGCGTTGTTTCACGGTAGTAACGGTTGAACTCCTCAAAAATGAACGGTTGATTCTTGCTCAGTTTCGAATTTTTCATGTTATTCTTAACAAAATTTAACCCTTTTTTGCTCTTTATTCACCCAAAGACATGTCCGCCGTACGACGCAATTTTGGAATAATTTTGCACGTTCCGTAAGCTCTGCGTCGCTACTTAGCGAATTGACTAGATACTTGTTAGGTTGTTTAGATTTAACCTTTTCTTTCAGCTTGTTCGAACACGATTTGATCTGTGCTAATTTAGTGCGCTGTAGGGGGGTCAGAGTAGCATTGTAAACCGTATAACTGTAGTACAGCAGTGTGATGTAGGCGGAAATTAAACAAACACACGGACGAATGAACGAACGAGGAACCAAAATTGACAGGAAGATCTCGCACAAACCCGTTCACTTTTTTGTTACAATAAGGTAGCAAGTGAACGGCTGAGGAGGAGTAGATAGTAGCAATTAGACGCTGAATTAAACTGGTAGAAGAATAAGACAGGTCAAGACGTCGCTAATGGCCGATCGCCGTTGGCCATCTCCTCCCTAATTGCCCCCGCTAGCAACACTGGCCCATGGTTACTCGACGCCATTTCAAATTGCGGCATGTCGCGGAAACAATAACAAGCACTATGATAACGACAACCACGAGGCCTCAACGGTGCACTCCTGATACAACGATCCCTAACAGCCACTTCTAGCACGAGCAGCGTGTCGATTTAGACCATCGTCACCGCATCATTATTGCCGTTATCACCATCGTCACTGGAATCGAAAAAACACGTGCAATAGTTACGTTATAGTTACTGATCTTATGGAGTGGTGCGAGGCGAAAAGCAAACAACTGCGAATGCCGTCGCCGTACACGCTGTAAACGTCTTTGCAGCAGTTGCTACGCCAGACTCGCGATTTGTCCCCACTCAAACGGATTCTGTCGCTTAGCTAACCGAAGACCCCATCACAGCAGCACCCTCAAATAATGTGTGAAGAGCACAATAATCATAATAACACATTTACGCTGTTTCGATTAGTGGCACGGCGACTGCTGCTGTTGCTGCTGCGGCTGTAGCAACACGAAGAATCGCGACACAACGAAATACGACCGATCGAGACAGATGATCGAGTCCGCGTTGGTGGACACTTGTCGTGGACGCTCATTCGACATTTAGTCATAAGAAGGTAAATAGGTAGTGCCGTTTCAGCTGCTGCTGCTGATGCGGCTGCTAGTGACGCTGTCACCTTTACCTGATGGGGAGACACGGAAAGCAGTTTCAAAGGCAACCAGGCCAAACCCATTTTTGCTTATGTGTAACTGCGTTTCATCGATAGATGAATTGCCATTTAAGACGCCGGTGAGCCTAGTCTAGTTTATACCAGAATAATACGCATAGATTTGTAATGGAGTCAATGAAATCGCGGTGCGCCAGTCGAAATCGAACAACTTAGTTGATACTGAACGGAACCGGGCTGAGAGGGGGACGAAATGACGGGGATGTGAATGGGTGCAAGATGTTAATCATGTTCGAGAATTGGCGGAGAGTTTTTACTGTTAAGCATTGGCACAATTTAAAAAAATATGGCACTTTCTATCGTTATACTGCAGTAGAGGTAGTGTATACATTTTTTTAGTGGTTGAAAAGGTAGTTTAGATAAACGATCGAAATTAGGAGGAGGAGGTTTTATATCTTCTGGTAAAGATCTGCGTATACATTCGCTTTGGAACAGAATTTCGTTTTATTGGCTTCATTTCGACAAAACACACTCAAACCTGCCAATGAAGAGTGCTCATTCTTACGTTGGCCATGCTACATTTAGACTTTCTATTTTTCGATGTCTACATGCTATCGAATCAAAAAAAATTATCGTATAGATAAATGCCTAAATGACACTCTCTTGTTTACATAACGTCGTGTCGAACCGCACGCGGTATCGTCTGCTGCAATACCTAACCATTCTACTAGTGGTATTTACCTTCCGATTCAAATATAATATCGCGCTATTTTTTTGGACGCAGATGTTGGGAAAGAGGATTGTCAACAACAACCCATTCTCGGCCAGAGATCCTACCTTACGACACCTTAACGGTCTACTCATATCACTTCGCTGTGAGTATTATTTTGGGCGCAAACTACCAATGTATTCGAAATTCGTTCTAAAGCGTCCAGTCGCGACTAACAGCGGACTCACTCAACGGCGGAGCGATACCAGCTTAAGTTGTATTTGTTTACTGCTGCTGTGATGGGCGCATTGGTCGCATAGTAGCGCCCCTCACTCTCGCCGTCGCTCGGCTGTTAGCTCTAATGGGGCTCACGCAACCTATGTGTATGACTCTGGTCGCTGTTGGAGTTAGTCGGAGTCGAGCAGCAGGCTGGGTGAGTGCTGCTCCATTTGCGGTTTCAAAGTGTCGGAGCGCTATGCTACCGTCGCATTGTGAGAATGAAGTAGTCTCTCTGTTATGCTGGTGCTAGAACGTGTGGTGATGGATCGCTGTTCGATCTCAGGACCGCTATCGAGATTTCATATTGTGTCAATTCTTGCCACGAGTGAATGTGTTAGACGGTGGCGTGAGTCCAGTGAACGCACCCGCTAGGAGCATTAGCTAGATGAGCCGTTCAAGGACCTTCGAAAGGTCTGCTTTAAAAAAGACCAGTGGTAAAGTGTTTGGTTTTATTTAACATAGAAACGCGCGACAGTTCGATAGAATCAGTTCATAGTATGAATTATTACGAATGTAAATAGAAACGACAGACAACGCGATGTCATAACGATAGTATTATTCACCACAAGTGATAGAGTAATCTGATCGAGTTTTCTACTGTCAACTTATATTGCTCGAAGTGTGATGGTGATGAGGAAAGGCTCAGAAATCAGAAGGCGCTATTTCCGGATCTGCCTCATTGATGGAGTATTGTTTGACTCACGGACTTCTAGTTCTTCGACTCGTTTCGTTGTTATTTCGGGCGACGCTTCGGGTTGCGCCCCGCAGGAGCGGCGTCACGGCATCGAGACAATAGCATTGTCGGCAGGCGTAACAACTGTGAACAAAACAGCCCAAGTAACATCCGCGAATACAGGGGCATTACTGCGTAGCTGAGTACAGGTGTGTGTGTGTGTTTCAGAATAGAATGACTACTTAGTTAAAAAGTTATTGCACGGGTTGATCTAGCAGAACGAATTTGTTTTGCTGTAGGATTATTTTGTGTTCGATTTCGAGCGGCTGAATTGGTTGACAGTGTTCTGCCAGAACGATAACACTATGTAGGCGCGTTGTTGTAATGGTACTTTGTGTTTTGATGCGTGTAAACTTATAAAAAGCTTGTCTGGCCTACGAAGTCGCGGGTATTTACGACGAGTCGAAAAGTGATAATTGCGCATGTGATGTTTTAGCAATTAATTAGTGGCAGTTCACTTTTCTTATTCTGGACTCACAACTATGAATGATCCTGCGATTGTTCCGATAGTCAAACCTCTATGTGATCTATCCGTTCGCTATTATGGATTTAATCGATGTTCGGAGCTGTTAGGCGATTTGCTAGCATATGCCTCATATCGCAATTCTCATCCATCAAAGTCCTGTAACACCATTTTAAAGCAAACCCTCAATTCCATTCACACACATGGGTGTATATATAGGTATATATATGTAGGTACTACCGCCCGAAACTTTATATAAGTTTTCGGGCGGTAGCACCTACTGGTAGAAGTGGCGGGATGTACGAATGTGTGTAGTACTAAACGAATCAATCTGTCCATTAATAACTAGGTAAGCGGCAACTGAGTGGTTAATTTATTTTGTCGCACTGATGCAATATGCTTCGATCGTCGGTGGCTTATTTCAATTAAAACCTACTTACTTCCAGTTCAAATATTCTTTCTTCAATCAGATTCGCCCAAATTTCCAGTGGAGCGGCTTTATCGTTGAATCGCTCCACACTCAGTTCTCGTCCATTCAGTGAGTCATGACAGCGCCAACTATAATCCATGAAAATCTGGTTGAAACCAGTTCGTTGCTAGTTGCTCTCGACAAGTGGTTTGTTTCCTTCTTTTCTAATACCAAAGCAATTTATATATATATATATATATATATATATATATATAATAGATTGATAAATAAAGCGAGTCACTCCCGTTCTTTCTGTCGTTACTGCTGGTACTGGTGAAGCGGCGAAGTGAGGTGCGCTGTCTCTGCGCATCGGTTCAACCCGATGAGAATTTTGCCGCCACCATTTCAACTACTGAATTAGCGTGGACCAGATAGGGGGTGAGACGGGGTAGTGCTCCAGGGGTGGAGGCCCATCCAGGGGACTCTATGCAACAATAACGACAACAATAACAGCAGATGCAGACACAGCAAAGCTAGCTATAGTATTGTAATAACTGCAGTAGCAAACGAAGCATAAGGTACGCGGTTGGTGTCATGGTGGACCGACACGCCGAGATGAGCTATCGTTCTACCGCGGCCTGCACCGTTCACGTCGCTAGTGATTGCTGCTGCTGATGTTTGGTGCACCTGGCGTTTTACTGTCGGTCTGTCGGTCAAACAGGCAGACAAATGGACAGAAGGATGGAGACGCTCCGTCAGCAGCACTCATACCGACAAACGAAGCGGGCGACCAGCACTCATCGTTGTAGCCTCCGATGAATCCCGACGCTGAGAATGGATCGGTACCTGCAAAAAGCCGAGAAATGGTAACTGTTGGCTGTGTGATGTTTGATGAAGGACCGATGTCACAGCACCGCAGCAGCAACTGTGTGCCCCATCTTGGCAGTGCAGCACACCTTGTCGGCGCAAACCACAGTATTCACCGCATTGGCCGTAGCTACCGTTGGATTTAATGCCAACATTAGTAATAGACGATATGGCAGTCTGCCATAAAAATAGTGGCCGCTAGCAGCGTTGGCTCCACTATGGCCCAAGCCACCGCTGTTATACTCCTATCGGAATTTCCTTGTTGTTATTGTTGGTGGAAGCGGTGGCTCTTTGTTGTTGGCGGCTCGACCGTGATGGATCAGGGCGTCAGATCGTCGGACCATCGTCACCCGTCATTCGTTTCCTCAGGCTGGCCGGGCAGTCGCTGATCGGATCGGCCAGTTAGACAGGGAAGTCAAGTTAGAGATAGAGTCAGCGCCTTGCAGCTTTTATCATTGGCATCGGTATTGAGACGAACAAACGCACGGATGGAAACGCAGAAAACAACGGACAAATCGGTAAACTCCGGAAGAAAATCAAGCGACACAGGAAAATTAATCACGGTCATGCTTTATTGTAATAAATAGCGATTGAAGCAGTCGTACGAGGAACCAGCGCCAATTCTGTCTGTGGTCAATATCATGCCAGCGTATACAGATCCGTCAGGCATATCGTATTACTGAGCTAAGCCCATAGTATCTGGTGGTATTAGCCCTAAATTAAGGATACCTTTAGGTAAGTTGTGGTACACAATTTCTGCGTACAAATGCGACGGCGTAGTTTGCCTGAGTGACAACCTTATTAGTGTTAAGTTGGAAACAGCACACTTGTGGCTGCCGGTTCTACAAAGAACGAAAGGGGCTTGTGTGCGCAGGTAGCGGGCAGTGGGGTAGAGCCGAGAAAACCACTCATTACCAGCATACAAGCATAACAGGTGACAGCAGTCATCCAAATGATTACCAGATCACGGGTAGCTCGTATAAGAACATGAACTCGAGCCTTAATCTGAGGAAGAACGCCGATAGCAATCTATTAATAATAATAATAATGCGTTATTAGTATCTACTGGTAATGATATGCGGATTTGAATTAAACTGAAAGTCGGTAGTTGAGAAATGCCATACTCGAGTGAACAGGCCTTTGGATCTACCTTGTTATTAACGATGACAGTATCCTCTAACTGCATTACTTAACGATATCGGTCGACGATGATTTGTCTATGACTGAAATGGCGCCATATTTCCAATTTCATATGGTGTCGTATGGTAGGAACATTATCGAGCTAAATACCTGCTGACCATATTGCAAATGTTTGGAATTTTACTTCTATAGAAAATATTGAACAGTCATTGAGAAAAATTATAAATTTTTCATATTCGATAGTTGTAGCTAGGTTAGTAGCATCTAGTAACAAATGTAGTAGAATACATCTCCAGATGATTCTTCTCTAAAAATAACTATTATATGTATAATCGTTGTTTACAATACAAGCATCATTACACGATAAGATCTAATGATCTCATAAAATAAACACATTACGCATATTCCTACTGTGTTCATCTCACCAGTTACCGAAGTAAATCGATAGCTATGATTCTATATTGTATATTGCGTGTTGCGCAGCGAGCACAAACAACATACGTACATAGGTCCTATTCTTTAGTTCTTTTTTTACCGACTTTTTGTTTGTAAGCTCATTACAATCTGCCCATGACGACATGGTGATATCAAATTGTTAGTCAGGTAAAACAATATCAAAAATTCTCATAGCTCCCACGTAGTTGTTTATGGCTCCAGGGTTGATGAGCAATATTTTAGCAATAATTGTGCTGATGCACAATGATTATTTGTGTGTTATACAATAATGCCAATGATGGCAGTTGCTGCGGAACTCGAATCTACTTTTCTCTCCGTGGCCTCTTTCTTTCTCA